CAGCAGCAGCAGCAGCAGCAGCAGCAACGACAACAACAACAGCTGCTACTACTACCTACCTACCTACCTACCTACCTACCTACCTACCTACCTACCTACCTACCTACCTACCTACCTACCTACTACCTACCTACTACCTACCTACTTATCTGTCTATCTATCTATCTATTTATCTATCTATCTATCTAGCTATCTATCTATCTATCTATCCATCTCTATTTGTCTGTCTGTGTGTGTATGCGTGTATAGACATATATGTAGAGATAAAGTTCTGAAGAATGAGACGACTCAGAGGGTGCCAACCCACAGCATCCACACGCCTCACAGCGGCCGATAGACGCTGCGTACTCCACACCTTTGACAGGTCAAGCCCTAAACCCTAAACCCCAAACCCTGAACATCCTGAGACAAGCACAACTTTCCCCCAACCTGGCAATCCAGGTGGGGGGACCCTGTTCAGAGTTTGTGTTTCACGGGGCTCAGGAGGTGTCGGGTTCGATAATCATCCAGGGCGCAGTGTTTCAGGTCTTTTTAGGTTGCAGGGCCTTGCAGGGTCCCAAATTAAACACCAGTTTCTGGTGGTTGAGCCTAGCCTTAAGTGTCCATGTACCCGCACAGGAAACACTGAGACCGAGAAGGGTTTACTCTGCATGGGGCGCCTTTTCGGGTTCAGGGTACTTTGGGGGGGCAAAAGCTGTACACGTGCAGATGGAGTTTCGGGGCAACCCAGCGAATCTAAGCCCTTTTACGGGAGTTCTACAGGAACTCTACTGCTGATGGACAAAATCCTGCATGACTTTATATACCTAAACTATGGGATTTATGGTACTATACTATATTTGGGTCATGCAGAATTTTGTCCATCAACAGTATGTCAGCCTTCAGCTCCTGGAAATCCGGAGGAATACGGCTTAGGATTTAGGAAAATGCGCGCGCCAGAACAAGAAGTCCGCAACAAGTCGAGACGAACGCCCAAAACCAAGACTCGAAACCACCCTAAACCCTAAACCCTAAACCGACCCTAAGTCCTAAGACACAAGCACCCGGGGCCCTAGTCCTTGAACACTACACCCCAAAGCTTCAGAAACTCAAGCCAAACCCTACAAACCTAAACCCTAAACCCTAAACACTAAACCCTAACCCTAAACCTCTAAACCCTAAACCCCTAAACCCCAAACATCCACGCCAGTCCCTCGACTCCCCGACCTGACACCCCACAATCCAAGAGTCCTGAAGGCCAAGCCCGACCAAAAAACCCTATTTTGGGGTCTAGTTTAGGGTTCGGGGTTTAGGGTTTAGGGTTTAGGGTTTAGGGTTTAGGGTTTGGGGTTTAGTGTTTGGGGGTTGGGGTTTAGGGGTCAGGAGTTAGGGTCTAGGGTTTAGGGTTTAAGGTTCAGGATGACCTTACTAAGAACCCTCTAACAACACGACAACACCGTGTACCAGAGCGCCACCTGAAATATGAACTTTAACTGAATAGCAACAGAAGCCAATCATCCTAAACCCGAAACTCTAAACCCCAAACCAAAAACCCTAAACCCCAAACCCCAAACCCAACACCCTAAACCCGAATCGGCCTTTGCATCCTGCCACTTCGATGCACTGCGACTGGCAGCCCTGGAGCGTGGAGGTCCAGTACCTGGGCTGCTTTTTTGGGTTCCCAACTTCTTGTTGTCGTAGGGTTTGCGACCAGAGGCTTAGGGTTTTTGACAGGTGATTCAGGGTTTCGAGAGCGGGGGATGACAAGGGTCTTATGGGGGCGGTACTGATAAGGGTGCATGTCTGTTTGTCTGCGTTCTATCTTTGTTGGGAGGAGGGTGAATGGCTTTGTCTACAGTCTACAGTCTTTAGCTTCCGCAGCAGGAAGCGCAAACCAAAAATCCTCGTTCTGGTCGTTTAGAAAAGTCCCCGAAGGGTCCATGTGCCCGAATAGTATCTACTTTGGTCTTTAAGTTTCCCTACATAGGGACGTCGAGGTCAAGGTATATACTATTTAGGCACGCGGACGCTTAAACTTAAACCCGTAACGTACCCTGAAGGACCGCCTTAAGGACATGGACCCTTCAACCTCAAACCCTAAACCTTATACAACCCTAGAAGGAAGAACCCTTGCATTACCCTTAAAGGAGCCCTTAAAGGATCCCGAAGGTACATGGACCTTTTGGGGTCTGGGAGGATTTCGAAGCAGTGTGTTGCAAGCCGAGCTGCAACCGTACTGCCTCCCAGACTGTACACTCATATACTGTAATGTAGTATAGTATACATTAGCATACTAAACTGCTATCTAGTGTAATGAACAAAAATGCAGCATATTTTCGCAATATAATATACATCCGACGACGACCCAACATGTCCTTTTTGATTGCGAGTGCGGAGCAGATTTCAATCCAAACAAGTTCACGAGAACTCTTATATAGTGCGTTGCATTCACGGATTCGCATGCCCCGACCCTTCAAGCTGTGATCTGTAAATCTACTGCAGGAACCTGATCAGGAAACCCTGGCCCTGTAGCCTATAACCCCAAAATATCCGGATTCCTAAATCCTAAACCCTCAACCCTGAACCCAAATGCAGACCAATAAAGACCCTGGGTCGCTGAATCAGGTTCCTATACTAGGCCCTAAACCCTAAACCCTAAACCCTAAACCCTAAACCCTAACCGATACAGAAGCCTTTGCGAGCCCGGGCGCAAATCGTAGTACAACCAGCTGTTGTCATTCGGGTTCGCTCCTGGAAGCAGTGGGTTTTAGGGTTTAGGGTTTAGGGTTTCAGGGTTTTGGGGTTTTGGGTTTAGTTTAGGGGTTTAGGGTTTAGGGTCAAAACGTGGCGGTCAAAACGTTTCGCTCGAAGGACTTCGGCCAAAACGTTTCGGTCAAAAACGTTTAGGTCAACACCCTAACCCTAAACTGGGTTCCTTTTCGGGCTTCTAGGAAGATGGCTATAGCCGTTAGTTTCAAACAGACCCTGCTAGATAACTTAGCCCTTAAAGGTAAATTTTCAAGGGGACCACATTACAGAACCCTGGTAGTACCCTTTAGGGGCTCCCCCCGCCCAAGTTTCCATAAAGTCTGAACGAGGACGTGGGATGTGAGCTCCATGAAACTGGAACACGGTTTAGGATTTAGGGTTTAGGGTTTAGGGTGAAGCCGAGTTGGGTCTGGCTTTCGTGGCTAGGGTTTAAGGTTGAGGGGTTTAGGGTTTAGGGCTTCTAAGGTTCAGGGCCTGAAGCCTGAACCTTGAACTCTAAACCCTAATCGCCGAACTCTGATCCCCCTGGTCCCGGAACCCTAACATTTCGGGTTTAGGGGCCCTAAACCCTGAACCGCAAGCTTGTAGGGGCCATCCTCGACAAACGCGATCTTTGGCAACGCCGTCGAAACCCTGCAAGCGGCGAGGGCAATACCCGCGAGATTCAGGTCCGGGTGGAGGGTTCCTGTTACAATTGCAGTATGATATACCCCCAAAACCTTTTCTAATCACTAAGCACTTGAGGATTTGTGGTGTTTCGGGGCTTTGAGGGAAAGGGCCTGAGGCTTTAAGCTTTAGGATGCATTCGGATATGGGGAATTCGGAGTTTGGGGCGCATGGGGGTGTAAGGGGGTGTTGGGTCGTGGGTTGGAGTTCGCCCGCCCCCAGCATAACGTATGGAAAGGTACCTGTATGTACAACCATAAGGGTTCCTTTAAGGGGCTTCTTTAGGGGATCCTCCAGAATCCTTAAAGGAATCCTAATGTAGGGCCGAAATAAGTTCCAATTCTTGTCTGGGGCTTCCGTATAATAATTATAGAGGGCAACCAAACGAAACCTCAAACTGCGACCTGGTGTGAGGTTCACCCCGACGGCCGTAGGACCCGAGCAGCAGAAGCTCTTTTGTAGAGGCCTTTATAATTTGACTCGGGTCTTGGGGAATATGTTAGTGTAGTAGAGTTATATTGAGGAACCCTAAGGAAAAACACTGTTGAGTATCCCCTGAACCCTAAACCCAAAACCCTAATCCCAAAACCCAGAACCCTAAACCCTAATCCCTAAACCCTAATCCCTAAACCCTGATCCCTAAACCCTAACCCCTAAACCCTGAACCCTGATCCCTAAACCCTATACCCCAAGCAGTAGAGGCCCTGACACCTGAGGCCCCGGTTCAGGGTTCAGGGGTTTAGGGTTTAGGGTTTAAGGTTTAGGGTTTAGCAAATTTAGTCTCGTGGTCCATGTGCCTAAAGGGATCCTTTAGGGACTCCTTATTGAACGGTACCATGGGGGTTCTATGAAGGTTCTGTACTCCTTGTAAGGATACCATGAGGGTTCTTTTGGGCTTCTGTGAGGATTGGGGTTTAAGGGTCCATGTGCTCAAATATATACTTTGGTTGGAAACTTACAGTAGTCTCTCTTCAGGTACTATGCCAAAATGTTTACTAGTTGGGCACATGGACCCTTGGGGGTAGGGTGGGGGTGGTGCTGCCGAGTTTAGGTTATATAAAAAAGGAGATATGAGGGTCTAGCTATTGAACAACATACATTTCCTATCATGATAGCAAAACTCTAATTCAAGAAGCCATCGGGGCTTCAATTGCAACTATGGCTCTTTGCACCCTCCATATGTCGGGAATACCAAAACCCCCAAACCCTGGAGCCCTAATCTAGGGCCTGGAAGTACATCAGCTGATGTGGGAGCAGCGTCGTCGTCACTGGCGGTCCGCTGGAACCATTGGGGTCAATGTACCTGAGACAGGGTTCCAGAGGGCTTAGGGTTTAGGGCTTACCAAAACCCAGAACCTACTTTACTGTAGGGTCCCTATGAATCCCATATTACGGTTTATAATAATTAAGAGCCGACAAAAAAGTGGGTTTTGGTAGGTTAAGGTAGAGTGTAGGGTTTAGGGTTCGCTCACTTAGAGGATCAGAGGAGGTAGTAAGTAAGGTCATAGGCAAGGACCTATAGTTACAAATCTGCTTACGTCTCAAGTTACTGTACTTATACTTATAACCCTATGCCTGCTACATCCCATGAACTTCCAAGAAAGGTGCAGAAGGGGATTAGGATTTTGGTTCAGGGTAGCAGAGACTGGAGCTAGGTTAGGCGACCGTCACAGGACTCTCAACATCCCCAGCTCGCGGGGCTCCGGCCATCTCGCAGGAATCACTGGTGGGCTCACATGCTGACGAATGTGAGGAGGAAGCCCAGAACCCGCTTTGGCCGGGCACGATAGCGTGAGGTGATTTTATCATTGACCAAGATGCTGACCCTAAACCCTAAACCCTACTAAACCCTAAACATGGTTCCCAAACTGGCGCTGATGCCCCTGCCGGCCCTCTCGGGGCCGAGGAAGCTACCACTCAGCAGCCATGTCCGGCTATTGTCAAACTATGGGCATCGCATGAAACTTCCAGGCTGAGATTTCTGTTTAGGGTTCAGGGTTTGGGGTTTAGGGTTTAGGGTTTAGGGTTTAGGGTTCAGAGTTTAGGGTTTAGGGTTCAGGGTTTAGGGTCTGATGTATCGTTACGTAATACAAAACTTGCCAAAGCCCCAAGACAGGGTTGAGAAGAAGGGTTTAGTCTGAACCCCCAAGCCTATTTAGGTTTTAGGGTCTAAGGTTAGGGCCTAGGGCAGATCCCACAACACCAATGCAGAGGCTGCGGTTTCCGATTCTCTTCGGCCATCCCACGAGGCACTCGGGTTTAGGGTTTAGGCGGAAGCGCTGGAAAGCATTCTCAAGGTTTGCGCAACTGACAACGTGCACCACAAAAGCTCAAACAACCCCGAGCAAGCTTTCGCGATCACACAAGGAGGGGGGTCACCAAAAATGAGCCCAGGTATGTCGCTTAATAAGGGCCTCCCCTGCACCTGGACTCTAAATAACAAGCCTAAACATGGGTTGGGATGGCAGTCTTAGGCTCAGGACTTAAAGCTTAACCAATATCGATCCCCAGCAAATCAATGACACTGGGGGGTTGGGGCTTCCTGCCTTTAGGAGTTACGTAGGGTTTCCGAAACCCTAAACTCTAAAAACCCTAAAGCCCTAAACCCGAGAACACGCTTTGGAGTGCGGCAAGGTCTCCGCCAACATTCGAACCCGAAGGCTTTGTTACTCGCCTCGATGCCGCCCTGCAGCAGAAGTTAATCAGAAATTACCCTGGCAGGCTCAAGGTTCAAGGTTAGGGTTTAGTGTTTAGGGTTTAGGGGTTTAGGGGCTTAGGGGTTTAGAGTTTGGGGTT